ATTTTCTATAATCTTTATGGATCTAATTATGATAAATATATCAATTACTTTGTATGTGTTTCCATCATTGTGTTGTATCTCTATGATTTTATGTATTTAGTTGAAACCTTAACTTATATCAGCTCTTGTTGCCTCTTTTGTAATGTCATGAACCCATAGTTTGAATTTCAACTTTTTGTCTTATTAGTTTTTTATAATCTGTATTCGCGTGTTAAGTTCAAACTCTAGTGCTTCTTGTTTCTTTTATTCAAAAGTTTTCTTGTATACTTTATTAAAAATAGATTATGTGTCTTAGGCTACACTTTTACTTACTAAAGTGGCTTCCTTTAATGTTTCCTTTTACATTCCCTCTATCCAAAAATTATATGTGTAATAAAAAATAGATACCTTACCATTAAACTATCAGTACTAAAATGTCATAATGTTTCGATGAAATTTTGTATGAACTCAAGTAATAACTTCAAAAATATATTACCATTGAGTTCTGATATAATTTAAAATAAATTATCAATGTCATTACATTGGTATATGGTTTGTTAAGTGAATATTTTTCACTATCAATGAACTATAAAAGTAGATGTTTATCTCTAACATATACATGTATACTTGTAGTACGTGGTAGTGCATAGCATTTATATTTAATTTAAATTACACAATGGTGGAATTGGGCAATTTAGAAACACATATAGCATATGGTTGTTCAATTCTTTTTTATAATAGCTTATCTTGGTAATCTAGACACAAAATTTTGAGGGATGTTTTAGTTTATATTTTATAAAGGCATAAGTGTGCAATTTAGATACAAAATAAAGTGGTTACTTTATCAATCTTATATTATTGTAGGGGTAGGTAATTTAAAATCAAATTTAGGGGTTACTCTAAATTAGTTTTCATAAGGCAAAATTGGCTAAAGGACATTAAAAGTGAAGTCATGTTGCTAGCGGACACTGAAAAAAATCTAATTAACTGCTGGACACTCTGGTTTGTGACAAATTTGTTAGAAAACACTGTGGCCATTAAATATTCATTTCTGGTTCACGAAGTGAGGGAAAAATAGTGAAATGTTTTTTTTTTCTTGGCCCTTTTCCTATTCCTCCCTTACTATTCTTTCTCTCCACTTCTCTTTCCTGTGCACCCTGGCTCCTCCCATCTCTCTCCGCCACTGTGGTCCCCGAGCACTCTCCCTCCGCAGTCTTCTCTCTTCTTCCTTCCTCTCATCTTGACGAGGTAAACTTGCGCTGTTGGACAGCTGCGACGGGCGTATGAGCTGAGCTAATGAGGTACTCGCTCATCTCTTCCATTATCAATGACAATGTAAAGCGTGATTTTCATTCTTTTTAGGATGGATGGAGTATATGTAAAGCGCCCTAATGAAACAAAACATATCAAGAGAGAAAATAATAGTGTCGTCCTTTGCTCAATATGTATATTTGTTTACGTGCCTAGTCCTCCTTACCTTAGGGAACTTGCCATCGTAATTTCTTCTCCTCACTGTTTCTAGTACAAAGGTAGAAGACAAAGCAATAGGATCTGTTTGGTTTGCGCCTCCAGTGAGCCAAGCCAAACTTTTGCTTTGGCCAAAATGGTACACAGTGCCAAACTAGATGAGATATAAAAGATTAGCATTTGATTTGTGGCCAAGTTTGGAAAAATAATGAGTATGATATGTGGTCCCACCCATCATCATCGCTTTTTAACAACAAAATATAGTTGATATGGTTCTTGAATTAGTATAGATTAATTAAGTCCAAGAAATACAGTCATATCCCAATTTACATTTTTTGGCTTAGTATTTAGATATAAAATGCCGACTGGGAATTCCTTATCAAGAACGAAAGGCATTTACTGCAACCAACAGAATGGCGCCACGTTGCTCAGCCATGGACAAACAGGCAAAGCCAAATTCGGGCGCGTCCGCGCATACTTCGGCCACTGCAAAAAACGACGAACTACTCTATTGAACTCCTTCCACCGCAGTCACGTTTTTCACGGCCAACCAAAGTTTGGCACTGAAAGTCTGAAACAAACAACAGCCAATTTTGTAGGGCACGAACAATTTTAGGTTTTGATGACCCCCGCATCGTCTACTCCATGAGGCAACTCGGGGGGCGAATCGTCCCACCGCCGAAACCCCACCCCGCCAGCTCCTCCCTGGCCGCCGCCGCCGTCCTCCGGTGAGTGGCAGCAGCGGCTGCGGTGATGATCCTCAAGGGGTGGCCGTCCGCACCTCTCTTCTCCATCCCTCCGCTCCTCTCTCTCCACCCCTCCAGCTTCGACCCAGTTGCTTTCTCCACCACCAGTGTGCTCGTTGCCAGCCACCAGAGGCCAGATCCAGCCATGCCTTTCCTCGATCTACTCTCCCCGATGCCGGATCTGACATCCCACACCTTCCAGTGCCTTCGGAGGTGACTTGGTGGCGGTTTTCTCGCCAGGCCTGTCCGGGGCGGCGGCTGGCTCGCGCCTCTGCCCCTGCGCTCGACTGTGACCGGGGCGGGGTGGCCGGCGGGGGGCTGGTCGGGCAGGGTGCTCAATGGGACCGTAGCTGCCTAGCGTGTGCGTCGTGCGGCTAGTGGCCAATTCTTGGCTGCGGCCGGCTCCCCTGCACTCGGCTTCAGCGGGGCCACGCCCAGCTACGGCGCGCGCAGAAGTCCTTGCGGCCAGCGACCACTCTTGGGCGACGGCCGGGTTGTTCGCAACCCCTTGCCTCTGCGCTCCTCTATGGTCGGGGCAGCGTCAGTCGTTTTTCTTGGCCCGCGGCCGAGAGGGCAGGGCTGGGCCCTCGTCTGCCATCTGGTGTGGCTAGCCGGCTGCCATCGGGTGGCAACCGGCCTACTACGGCTGTCGAGGCCGGCAGGGAGTGCTTGCGGTCGGACGGCGGCCGGCTGGGGGCGGCCTGTGCGACTGCAGGCTGGGGTGGTGACCTATGTCCGCCCAGTGTGGCCTGCTTGCTTCGTCCCGCGTGGTTGTTGTGGTCGTCCCATGGCAGCGCTTGCGTCAGCCGGTTTCAGGGCGTTGCGCGGCCCTTGAACTGCAACTCGTTCACTGCGCCTTGGTAGTTGGGTGCTAGGCGAAAGCCTTGCTGTCTAGTCAATGATGGCGACGCCCTTTGGGCGCTGTTTTCCTCCTTGGTGGCATCTATCGTTGCACCTTACCTCCCGGCGTGGATCTTCTAGGTGAAAACCTCATTCATTCTGTACAGGCAACGGCGTTGCTGTCGGTGTCATAGTCCTATCCTTGGAGGCGTTGCCTCTAAAGTCCCACGGCCATGGTGCGCTCGGGGGCTACCCCCCTCTCCTCAGTGCTGCGCTTGGTCATTGTTGTCGCTTGTGCTCTGGTCGAGTCATCCGGACGGCGGTGGAATTTTTTGGCTGTGCCTATGCGTGCTTCATATCCTTCGTGGCTTCAACGCCTGTGTTTGTCCTATAGTTTGGTCGTTTCTCCGGCGGATGCTTGGTCGCTTCTTTTGTCGCTTCTCCGGTGGATGCTTTGCCGCCAGTGTTCCTTGTTATTGCTGAGCGGATGCTTTGCCGCTGCAGTTTGCTGGCCGGATGTTTGGCTCCCATAGCGGATACTTTGCCGCTACCGTCGTGTGCCTCTTTTCCGGTGGATACTTGGGCACTGTGGTCTCCTCTCTGGCGGAGACTTTGCCGCTGTTGTCGTATCGGCTTCCTTGGCGGATGGTTTGCCACCAAGGTCTCTTGGTCCTTTCCCTAGCGGATACTTTTGCCGCCACTGCTGTTGGAAGCCCGCCTCGTCGTCGTCGCTTGATACATTGTAGGCTACCAATGTGTTGTAGTCTTTCTATCATAGGCTCAGTTTGTTAGGGTGTTGAGGTTGAGAGTCCCCCTGTGTTTGTCATGCTGCTCGTTCGTGCCTTTGGGACTGTTATGGTAATTCTAGAATTAACTGGTGAGCCTTGTGTAACTTTTTAAAACTCTACTTTTGCTTAATGAAAAACGTGCCACGGGTACGTTCGCATAAAAAAAATGGACCGCAAACCGTGACAATCGGATTGGCGTGCTTGTAGTGTCCGCATTGCTTGTTCCATTTCAATTGCATTGCCATGTGAGGCAACATTGGCCAGGGTAGTAGCTCAACAGATCTTACTGCAGACATAGATGGCTGTAGCATTTGTCTTGTTGTCGACTGTGCTGTACTGCTGTGCTTCTGGACAAGTTGCATGACAGTAGTGTTCTATAGTAGGATGCGCTTATTTTGCATGGTTGTAAGATGAGAGATTTTGTATATTTGAGCCTTTACTAAGTTGCTAGCTTGGCGCCTTGGCACACACTAGAATCTACTTCCTTTGTCAATGTATGTAACCATTTTGAAGTTTTTTGGGACAGGTTTAGGAGGAGGAACGATAAGGCCAGTCCAGCGGAGGTTTTATGTCTAAGTTTTCAATGCTCGTATGTTCAAAACAGTGTAAACTAGTTTCATATCAAGGAAACTCATAGAATTACCTGTATGGCCGTATGAAACTCACTTATTCCTTCTATGGCCCTCAAAACTTCAAAATTCCTTATATGGCCTTGTGTTCGAATTTCGGTGCCCTATATGAACCGGCACTAAAGGTCCTCTTTCAATCATGGTTGCCTGACTCGGGACTAAAAGATGAGGCCTTCAGTCCCGGATACGTAGCTAGCACTGCTGCACAGAATTTTTCTTCCTTTCCCCTCTCTATGTATCACATGTGTATTTGCTGTCTTGCATATATAGGCTTCTGCTCCCCTTTCTATTGCTAGTACCAAAAGAGAACCGGATGCCCTTCAAGCCCATCACTCATGTCAAGTACTACTACCCATCGATGTCACCGCGCTAGCGCGTCGCAATGCTTCTCTCCAATTCGTCCTAGCTCCTTCCATTTCTGTACATCTTGTAACACACAGCCGCCGAATTTTAGTACCTAGCTTGGCACTGGCACTTCAGCAGTGGTACAACTTGTAACAGCCCCACCCCGACCCCCACGGAAGCTGCTTGCGAAAATTCCTTCCGATTGCATGGAGCAGGCGTCCTGGTCGCTGACTTCTCAAGCGGCGGCGGCGGCGGACCTGGCGCTAGGCCTGGCGCCGGCCGGACACCGCCACGAGGAGGAGCAGGACCAGGTCAAGGTGACGGCGTGCGTCGGCGGGAAGGAGGCGCGGCTGTTCCCGTGCCTCTTCTGCAACAAGAAGTTCCTCAAGTCGCAGGCGCTCGGCGGGCACCAGAACGCGCACAAGAAGGAGCGCGGCGCCGCCGGGAGCTGGAACCCCCCAGGCAGCAGCCTCAGTGCGGCTTCCGTGTCCGTGCCGCTCGCCTCGCATGGCGGCGGCAACGCCGCAGAGCCCCCAGCTGCTAGCGTCAAGCTCAAGCTGGAGTGGCCTGACGGTGGCGCGGCGCTCTTCACGGACCACGCCTTGCTCCCGGCGGCACCGTCAGCTGACCGACCCTTCATCAGGTCGTCCGACGGCACCGTGGACATGCTCAACTGGACAAGGACATCCCGCGCCGCTGCACCACCGGAGAGCGCGGACACCAACCCCGCATCATCCTCCGGTGCCGGCGAGGAGCTGGACCTGGAGCTGCGGCTCTAGCTAGAAACGCACGACCTAATTCTGCTCTCGGAGAAAGCTTAAGACGCATCTTCTTCCAGCTGGGTCATCATCACTCTCGCTCTCTCTTCTTGCCTTCACATATCTATATGATATGCTGCATATATCTGTGTCTTGTGATCTTGTCCTTGCCCCAATCAAGCTTGATGATATGGATCTTTGTTTTGTGCTTGTTATGAAGTACTAATTAATATGCTTGTGCGAATGCATGCGTGTGGATCTTTTCAAGTACTGTGAGTTGCTAATTACGTAGTGTTTCCTTGTTGAATGGAGCAAGCCGCCGCCCGCGCCGGAGCAGTGCTGCTGTCAAGCTGGAGAAGCCGGCCGGCCGCGGAGGGCAGCACGCTCTCTCCGCGGATCGCACGTACGTGCTGTTGCCAGGGGCTAGCCGACCACTCTGCCTTGCGCTCCAGCATCTCTGCCCCCACACCGGCCACCGGATCGAGAGGGCCAACAGCAACAGCAACACCTTGCGGCACCTTGCCCTACAGCTCCGGCAAGGAGCTTGGCCTCCAGCTGTGAGGTTGTGATTGTGACACTAGCTAGAATGAGACGGCTGTGCTTTGTTTATTCAGAATTCCACTACTAGAGAACAGACTTTAGAACGATGTTTCAATTTGGCATTAGCCTCGGTATTTTTTTGCCCCCGGGACTAAAGGTCCCTGCCCAACCGCCCGAGGTGAGAGTTCTCTCGGCATTCGTCGTGCATGGTGAAACGGCGTCAGTGAGGGCCCATGCATGGTTGGGGTCTTTTGCTGCTTGTCGTCCATAGCGGAGGAGCCATCAGCTGCTGCCGTCGTCTTTGGGGCATGCCATGGTTGTCAGTTTCAACAATGGCGTCTTGGGGCAACGGCACGCCATGGCTGCGGCGAATCATTTCCTTGAAGCACGCCACGTGCAAGTCAACAACCTTGCCGTCCAAGTGGATGTGGTACCTGTACGCCCAGAACCTACTCCGGCGGCCCTTGTTGTCTCCAGAAGTCACACGATGGCAAATCTCGCGATGCCTTCCGGTGGAGCTCTAAGGCTCGGCCGTCGTGGACAATGCGTTCCGGCAGTGTGGCGCAACCCTGGTGGATGCCGAGGTCTTGTTCGAAGCAGTGGTAGACGTAGCTAGCTGAAACTTGCAACATCACGACATCACGCACCGACGACACCGCCCCGGCCCGCCTCACGTCGTCGTCGTCAGCACACCGGCCACCGCGCCGACACGTATATATACGTCATTTGCATTCATATGCATGTATATATACGTCGCGGAGCACCGCCGCCCTCGTTGGCCCATGCGTTTCTATGTATACGGCGGAGCACCGCCGCCCTCGTTCACCCATGTGTACAAACATATATACGGCAGAGTGGAGCACCGCCACTCTTGTCACACCGCCCTCTCTCGTGGCCTAGTCGATCAACATTTGTATTATCGTTATCGTTAACGCTAAACAATCACACCAGGGCGAATTGCGTCGGTGACTAGGGCGAACCGCGTTGTTGATGTCACCGACGTGGTTCACCCTAGTCACCGACGCAATTCGCCTTCGGCCGTTTATGTATAGCCCTAATTCGCCCTAGTACCGACGCAGTTCGCCCTAGTGTGGCGAATTGCGTCCGTGACCAAGGGGCAAGATTTAATAATGCATATTGTTCGTAGATTTTACGCATGTAAGCAAAGATTTGACGTACTATATATTGGTTTTATTTTTTGAAGCTAGATGGCCGACCCGAGAAACATGGATGAGGAGGAGTTGATGATGAATTTGATCAACACTGGCACTCAAGTTGCCGGCAATGATGGTGCTAAAAATAAAGTGCAAGAGGATGCAGATGACGGGAGTCGGTACTTAGCTCTTAAACAAAATGAGCAATAACATATTGGCCAAGTATATATTTTTTATTATTAGCTATATATATTATCATATGTCTTATGCGTGCTCATGACATTAAAAATAATGTTTATGTTTTGTAGCCCTCTGGATCAACATCAACAACTACAACGAAGAGTAAAAATGTTCGAGGTCCCAAAAAGCCATTGGAGGGCTGCTTCATCATCTCGGAGTTCAATGTGGATACAGGCGAACCGGGGGGGCCAAATAAAACGAAATTCATGCACCATTGTGGTTACCTTGTACGGGACCGGCTCCCGATCAGTACCCGCGAATGGAAGAAGAAGACCAATGCTCTTCATATCAGTTTTGTCTCCGATCGTGACAAGACGTTAATTTGGAAAGATGTCTTGGTACATTTCACGCTCCAAACAGATGGTTATGATGATATAATAGATGGTGATGAATTGAAGGAGCGAGTTAGGGATTGGGCAATGAAGAAGATGGCCACCCAGTTTTAGACTTGGAAGAAACACCTATGCACCAGATTTCACTATCCCAAGCCCGATCTCAAAGCAGAGGCCCTATTGGGATGAGTTTGTACAGTACAAGACGTCGGAAGAGGGTGTGAGTCGGGTGATAAAGAACCAACGTAATGCCCAACAGAAGACATACCACCATAACTTGGGATCAGGTGGCTACCCGACTGCCATTAAGAAGTAGAACAAAATGAAAGCAGACCTTCTTACCAAGGGTATCACACCACAATCACTCGAGTGGGGAGAGCGTGCAAAGAATTGGTTTTTCGCTCATGGGGGAACACTGGACCAGGAGACAGGGAAGTGCGTTTATGGCGCAAGACTGCAAGAAGCAGTAGAAAGATTGTTTTATGCTCAGAGTGCTACTACTAGTGGTGCGTTCAGGCCCAACAGAAAGAAGGATGAGCTGACATACGCCATCGGGACTATTGAACACTGTGGCCGAACTAGAGGCAAAGGAAGTGTCTCGTGGGAGCATGGATTCCCTCAGGACAGACCTTCCTACAGAAGCCACCAGAGAAAGAAGGAAGAAGAGGCACAGCGGCTCCAGAGGTTGGAGGAAGCGGTGCGTGAAGCACAGGAGCGAGAAAAAAAACCTTGAAGCGAGAATGCAGGATGAAATCAGAAGGCAAGTGCAAATAGCAGTGAGTGCAAGCAAGCAGGCATCAGAGCCAGGAATCAACATTAGCCAATCTGTTCAGTTGAAAAGCAGTTGCGCTTCCATAGAGATACCAAATCAAGGGGACACAGGACTGCGCTTCCCTGTGGATGACATCACTGAACCTTGTACATCATGTGAGCTACACATTCCGAAGGGGAATTCCACAATCAAGGTGGCTATCGGTCTTGTTAATCCTATCGACCGAACCAAGACACCAAGGATTCATGGGAATATAATCCAAGAAGGATATGCTACCATCTCGGTAGATAAAGCTGAAAAAGGTTTTAGTGATTTGCCTCTTGACATTCCTGGAGGTGATGGCTAGAAGACTCTCGGAGAAGCAGAGAAGACATTCATTCTATGGCGCAAGCGCTACATCATCATTCCCGGGATGTCGGCTCCACCTCCTCCTAAACTACCTCACCATAGGTGCGGATGAAAACACTACATCATTAATTTATATTGGCTTAAATAATTAACAATCTGCTCATAATAATATGTCATTTCTTTTTTTGTAGCAGATCCTCCCTCAACCTAAATCCAATTGTTCAATCGCCAGATCATCATAGTGCTCTGTACGATGACAATGTGTTAGAAGGCGAGGCTGCATCCACACCATCTCCAAGGAGGTCTCCAACGCCGCAGCCGCCACCTCCAAGGAGGTCTCCAACGCCGCTGCCACCATCTCCAAGGAGGTCTCCAACGCCTCCCCCGCCCCCGCCTACCAAGAAGCCAAGTACTACCAAGAAGCCAACCCCGCAAACGAAGAACCAGTCCCCGATGGCAAAGAAAGCCACCATGAAACCAAGGGCTATTCCCAAAATAGTATCTGAAGAGAAGGAAGAAGTAACTGATGCATATAAAAAAGATATGTCCAGATTCTATGACAAACTTAAAAAGGGTCAAGAAGCAAGGAGAAACCCGGAGAAACCATACTTCTTCATAGCTCCAGATATTCTAAGAAAAAAGGTGGCTTCTTACCAGCAACAACAGCGGGAATCTCGTAAGCCGTCCAAATCAACGTTAATGGACTATGACCGCACTCTCACCAAGTCAATTGAGGCGGCACAGAAAAAAGAAGCGGGCAGGGAAAGGAGTTGCCCAACTCGGACAACAATTGCACCAATCAGTCCCCCCGCTAGTTGTTGGTAATGAATATGGTTCGAATTTAGGATTAATGCATCAGACAAACATACCTCCGGATGTCGATTTGGATCACCTTGGTGAATTTATTCAAGAGACTGATCTCGACCTTTACCAGATGTTTGGTGATGGAAACATTGAGAGTGCGGCGGAGGTTGATATTTGGAAGAAAAAATTTGTACTAGGCCAGAGTCTATACAACCCTCAAGCCTTATCTGATCTGGGGACGCAAATGTACCTGGTAAACAAGTGGTACATGCAGGCGTCTACCGGTGAAGACTTCTGCGTTGGTGTCAGAATTAGAGATGAACATTGGTTCCGTGGCGATGATGTTATGTATGTTGACTTTGCAGAATTTCATCAACTATGCCACCTGACCTCTCTAGACAAAGTTATCATTAGCTGTTATTGCCTGTAAGTAATAATTCTTTCGATCTATCATTAAACTCATCATATGTGTGTATATGCATATAAATTATCCTAACAAGTACTATATATATGCAGATTTACAATGACCGAGCTCAGAAAGGAAGGCTGCAATGAAATTGGTTTTGTTGATCCCCATATAGTATTCAAAGACCCAGTTACTCTAAAGACTAATTAGAAGTCTGAGTCAGAGAGTAACCTCATGAACTTCTTATTGAACCAACGCCACAAGAAGGATATACTCTTTCCCTACAACTTCAAGCGAGTGTTAATAATATCGATCATCCTTAATGGCTCATATGTTGATTCTAGTTAATTAATGAGTGTTATGCGTTATATCCTATAAACACATGCAGCAATCACTGGATATTGATGGACATCGATCTGGTGAAA